CATCAGTCCATACAAAGGAGAATCTTGAAGAACAGGAGGAGAATGAGGTAATCAGTCCCTCAACCTTGAGTCGATGTGGTCAGTCCATCAATCTTGAATATCAATCTTGGTATTATATTCAAGATTGATGGACTGACCACATCGACTCAAGGTTGAGGGACTGATTACCTCATTCTCCTCCTGTTCTTCAAGATTCTCTTTTGTATGGACTGATGAAGCCACTGTGTGGCGAAACGTTTCCTCAATAAAGATACCCAAGAGTTGCACATGTGTCTAATTTATCAACATGTCGGTTCTCTGAACCATTCATCTACAAACCTAGAAAATGTACAGAGAACCTTCACAGCGCGCATAATGGAGATAAAACCCCTCAATTACTGGGAGCGCTGAAAGTTCCTGAACCTGTATTCCCTGGAATTCAGGCGGGAGAGATACATGATTATATACACCTGGAAAATCCTAGAGGGACTAGTACCGAACTTGCACACGAAAATCACTCACAACGAAAGCAAAAGACTTGGCAGACGATGCAACATCCCCCCAGTGAAAAGCAGGGGTGTCACTAGCACGTTAAGAGACCATGCAATAAGTGTCAGGGACCCGAGACTGTTCAACTGCCTCCCAGCATACATAAGGGGAATTACCAACAGACCCCTAGCAGTGTTCAAGCTGGCACTGGACAAGCACCTAAAGTCGGTTCCTGACCAGCCGGGCTGTGGCTCGTACGTTGGTTTGTGTGCAGCCAACAGTAACAGCCTGGTTGATCAGGCTCTGATCCACCAGGAGGCTTGGTCACAGACCGGGCCGCGGGGGCGTTGACACCCGGAACTCTCTCCAGGTAAACTCCAGGTAATAGTGAACCTGGGTTCAAAAGTGTCATCGTAGAGAATGGGTTCAACAAATGTCATCATATTGAACCTGGGTTCAACAAGTGGCATCATAGGAAACCTGGGTTCAACAAGTGTCATCACAGTGAACCTGGGTTTAACAAGTGTCATCACAGGAAACCTGGGTTCAACAAGTGTCATCTTGGTGAACCTGGCTTCAACAAATGTCATCATATTGAACCTGGGTTCAGCAAGTGTCTTCATAGGGAACCTGGGTTCAACAAGTATCATCATAGGGAACCTGGGTTCAACAAGTGTCTTTACAGTGAACCTGGGTCCAACAAGTGTTATCATATTGAACCTGGGTTCAACAAGCGTCATCATAGGGAACCTGGGTTCAACAAGCGTCATCATAGGGAACCTGGGTTCAACAAGTGTCATCATAGGGATCCTGGGTTCAAGAAGTGTCATCATAGTGAACCTGGATTCAACAAGTGTTATCATAGTGAACCTGGGTTCAATAAGTGTCATCATAGTGAACCTGGATTCAACAAGTGTCAGTATAGTGAACCTGGGTTCAATAAGTGTCATCATAGTGAACCTGGACTCAACAAGTGTCATCATAGTGAACCTGGGTTCAACAAGTGTTATCATAGTGAACCTGGATTCAACAAGTGTCATCATAGTGAACCTGGGTTCAACAAGTGTCATCATAGTGAACCTGGGTTCAACAAGTGTTATCATAGTGAACCTGGATTCAACAAGTGTTATCATAGTGAACCTGGATTCAACAAGTGTCCTCATAGTGAACCTGGGTTCAACAAGTGTCATCATAGTGAACCTGGGTTCAACAAGTGTTATCATAGTGAACCTGGATTCAACAAGTGTTATCATAGTGAAACCTGGATTCAACAAGTGTCATCATAGTGAACCTGGGTTCAACAAGTGTCATCATAGTGAACCTGGGTTCAACAAGTGTCATCATAATGAACCTGGGTTCAACAAGTGTCATCATAGTGAACCTGGGTTCAACAAGTGCCATCATAGTGAACCTGGGATCAACACGTGTCATCATAGTGAACCTGGGTTCAACAAGTGTCATCATAGTGAACCTGGGATCAACAAGTGTCATCATAGTGAACCTGGGTTCAACAAGTGCCATCATAGTGAACCTGGATTCAACAAGTGTCATCATAGTGAACCTGGGATCAACAAGTGTCATCATAGTGAACCTGGGTTCAACAAGTGCCATCATAGTGAACCTGGGTTCAACAAGTGCCATCATAGTGAACCTGGGTTCAACAAGTGCCATCATAGTGAACCTGGGATCAACAAGTGCCATCATAGTGAACCTGGGTTCAACAAGTGTCATCATAGTGAACCTGGGTTCAACAAGTGCCATCATAGTGAACCTGGGTTCAACAAGTGTCATCATAGTGAACCTGGGATCAACAAGTGTCATCATAGTGAACCTGGGTTCAACAAGTGCCATCATAGTGAACCTGGGATCAACAAGTGTCATCATAGTGAACCTGGGTTCAACAAGTGCCATCATAGTGAACCTGGATTCAACAAGTGCCATCATAGTGAACCTGGGATCAACAAGTGCCATCATAGTGAACCTGGGTTCAACAAGTGTCATCATAGTGAACCTGGGTTCAACAAGTGCCATCATAGTGAACCTGGGTTCAACAAGTGTCATCATAGTGAACCTGGGTTCAACAAGTGTCATCATAGTGAACCTGGGTTCAATAAGTGTCATCATAGTGAACCTGGGATCAACAAGTGTCATCATAGTGAACCTGGGTTCAACAAGTGCCATCATAGTGAACCTGGATTCAACAAGTGCCATCATAGTGAACCTGGGTTCAACAAGTGTCATCATAGTGAACCTGGGATCAACAAGTGTCATCATAGTGAACCTGGGTTCAACAAGTGTCATCATAGTGAACCTGGGTTCAACAAGTGCCATCATAGTGAACCTGGGTTCAACAAGTGTCATCATAGTGAACCTGGGTTCAACAAGTGCCATCATAGTGAACCTGGGTTCAACAAGTGTCATCATAGTGAACCTGGGTTCAACAAGTGTCATCATAGTGAACCTGGGTTCAACAAGTGCCATCATAGTGAACCTGGGTTCAACAAGTGTCATCATAGTGAACCTGGGTTCAACAAGTGTCATCATAGTGAACCTGGGTTCAACAAGTGCCATCATAGTGAACCTGGGTTCAACAAGTTTCATCATAGTGAACCTGGGTTCAACAAGTGCCATCATAGTGAACCTGGGTTCAACAAGTGTCATCATAGTGAACCTGGGTTCAACAAGTGCCATCATAGTGAACCTGGGTTGGCTGTTGTTGATAAGCTCATTTCTTCCTGGGTGCTCCACCACTCTTCCCCTGATAATCTGCTCTATAACTTGACATACATGTCAGTGACACTGGTCTGTAGGTTAATGCCGCCTATCTGTCTCATTCTGGAAAATTGGGACTAATTTGCTGTCTTCCACACCTCAGGCAGTTGCCCCGTATCTAAATATTTACTGAAGATTGTGGTTAGCGGCACACACAGTCTCTCTGTACCTCTCTCAGGACCCATGGAGAGATGTTATCGTGGCCCATTGCCTTCAATGTATCTAGTTCACCTAGCAGTTTTTCCAACTCCTTCTCGGTTGTGTGCAGTGTGTTCAGAACTTGTTCATGTAATCTTACCACATAGGTTTGCTGAAAGCCTTGCTCTCTCTCTCTCTCTCTCTCTCTCTCTCTCTCTCTCTCTCTCTCTCTCTCTCTCTCTCTCTCTCTCTCTCTCTCTCTCTCTCTCTCTCCACTGGGAATACCTCCCTAAATGTTGTGCTGAGGTCGTCACATTTGACTGTTCTTTTGCTCCTAATGTGACTGTAGGGTCAGATTTATTTTTTGATGCTATGTCATTCTAGTACTGCGCTGGACCTCTCTCCTCATTCATGCATATTCCTTTTTGGTTCCTCGGCTCAATTTGTTTTCCTTTGGGTCTTTGCCTTCTATACGTACTTTTCCCTTGCTTTAACACACTTGCCTTTGGCCTCTCCACACCTCCGGGTAAACTACGGGTTTACTCTCGTCTTCCCATTGTTTCTGTTGCCCCTTCGGTACGAACTTCTGTTTCCTTCCACTTTATGGTACAGTGTTCTAGCATTTCATTTATTGTCTTCCCCTCTAGCTCTCTTTCCCACTGCACCTCATGCAGTAATTGCCTCAAGCCTGTGTAGTCCCCTTTTTTGAAGTTAGGTATCTCCCCTTATTCTCGTTCTGTTTCACTCTCCTCTGTTAACTCAGCAAGGTATTCGAGACTCATGACCATTTGATCAATAGCGCTGAGGGGCCTTTCATGTGTAATATCCCCCATGTCTAAACTGTTCGAGGTGAATACGAGGTCCGGCCTTGCTGGCTCATCATCCTCTTCTTTTTCTCTCTGGTTGTATCCCTAACATGTTGGTGTATGAAGTTTTCTTTTACCGCCTCCTCAATTCTATGTATGGGTTGTGACTCTTTCACTTTGCTGTCTAACTCGTTGTACTTCCTGACCGACTAAAGGCCGAAGAGATATTTCCTAATATCCCTCTGACTCATTTGTGCTTTTAACTTCCAGCTGTGCCCTTTTGTATCTGAGTAATGTGTCTCGGACTCTCCCTGTCGACTCCGTCAATTCCTCTCATTGTTTTGTATATTGCAGTTATATCAACTTCGCTCCTTCTGACCACTAATGATACAAGTTTTACCTGTTCTAGCCTCTTCTCATAGGTCACATCCCTCAGCTTTAGGACTAGTCTCGTTGCATGTGAAGAAACTTAAATATTGGCAAAGGTTTCCAACGAGACTAGTCTTAAAGGTGAGGGGCGTGACCTATGAGTAGAGGCTAGAGGAGATAAAACTTATGGGAAGCCCCGAGGTATATGAAGTTTGTGAAGTCTGTTTAAAGGTGGTAGAAGACAAGACGCGATAAAGAAGGATGAATAGGGCTCATCAAAGATAAAATTAAAAGGTTAAATAGATATGGACCACAGCAGAAAGCAACAGAGACTTGTGTGACGAGGGTGAGGGAAAGACGTGGGAGTTCAAGGAAGGGATGGTTGCCAGTGTGACAAATATAAGAAGGAGCCTCACCATAAAACGTATACCATTTATTTTCTTTCAGTACACAGATCTCTTTCTCTAATTGTCTACTGGGCATGATCAACAATAATAGTGGACACCAAGAGTTAGACAAGACTGGTAGTCATAAGACACTGCAGCCTGACGGTAGTACTCTGCCGGGTTGCAGAATCACTACCACTACGCCACTGTTGAAGGGTAAGGACCTTGTCCAGCCGGGTTTACACAAAAGAAAGTTTTCATTCATCTATCGCATGTGTAGCAACTTTGGAGATTCTCGCACTTAGGGCAGACAATGGTGGAAAGGTGTACAAGAGACAACAGTAGTAGTATGAGGAGAAAAGTTCATTAGAAAAGAGGGTCTGATAGGGCTGTTGAACCTTCACAAGTTAGCTCTATCAGACCTTCTTATCTAACGAACTTTTCCCCTCACATTCCCCATACCAAGACTTATAAGAAAAATTAGCGAGGTGAAAATTCTAAAAAATTAAAAGTCGTGTATTGCAGGAGACAGTATTTCTACTGACTGTCACGACTTAACCAGTCAGACAAATAGAAGAACCATTGATATACACCATATGAAACTTGGTAATTCTACCAACTTTATTACTATATGAAACTTAAAAGACTGGAGGGTCAATGTCCACCTCAAGAGGCGACTGTTGGTTCCCTTAAAAGTTTGTGATCTGTCTCCAGAATGAACTCTTTTTCCCAACAAATAGTATTTAAGTTTAGAAGTTCCCCACACAATGGGTAAACATTCCTTTTCAATAGTGGAGTACTTTTGTTCAGCTGGGAGATGTTTACGACTCAAAAAACATACAGGAAATGGGATTCCATCTTGGTACTGTAATAATACAGTACACAGTCCGATATTAGAAGCATCAGTTCTTAAACAATAAGGTTCGTTACTGTTTGGGATCTTCAAGATTGGATCTTTAGAGAATATTTGTTTAAAGGCGTTAAAAATATCCCGAGCTTTTTCTGATATTTCTACACGCTTCCTTGCAGACTTTTTAAGGTAATCTGATAATATTCCAGTGAGATCTGTAATGTTAGGTATAAATTTAGTATGGAAATTTATGGAGCCAAGAAAACAAAACATTAGTTTCATAGTTATTGGCAAATTAAAGTCAAGTAACGTCTGAATCTTGTTGAGAAGAGGTTGTAACGAGTTACTAGAAAGAATAAAACCAAGATACTATATCTGCTTATATCCCAGAAAACATTTCTTTGGTTTGGCAATAGGGTCATGTGATCGACGTCTAAGCAAAACTGATGTTAATGTCTGGATATGTTCTTCCCAAGTGGAAGTCATTATATAAATGTTGTCGAAGTAGACTGGAACGTTAGACATATCACTTAAGCAAAAATATATAAGGAAGTACCGCCTCTATGGCTGGAATGGGGACCCTCATCCTCAGAGATGACAATAAACGTACCTCAGGGAAAACTCAAGGTTCTCCCTGGAGCTGTTTGAATATTTTCTTCTCCTACCACCCCCTATATATTTTATATTCTATGTGAATATTTATTAATAAACAGAATACATTTACAGAAAAAAACATAAACGTGAATACAATGGCACAATGTTCAATGATCATGAATTTCCTCCAGCTCCTTCGAGGCTGGACGCGAGCCAAGTATGCAGCAAGCATTTCCCCTCTGGATGGCTATGCTGAGGTGCTGGAACATGAAAGTGGCTGCCCTTGGGTTCCTGGTGGTGTCGATGAGTCTGGAACCCAATTCTTTAAGGAAACGTCTGGCATTTTTTCCCCATGATCCCAAGGTCTCTGATCCCACTGGGACAAATTGATACTGTTGGCTTATGTCCGTGTACTTGCTGATCTTGTACTCCTCTCTGTGGTCAGCACCTCCTCCCTGTCGCCCTACACTGTGATGGATATAGGTGTCAGCCAGTGTGGACACACAGGTATAATCCCATGCTAAGAGCTTGCCATTCTTCCAAGGATAGATGGTGATCCAGTCGGGGCGATTTGCTGGGTTGTGGGTATTGTTGGCTGCTAGTGATAGGGGCTCCCTCTCGGCTGGGCATCCAGCTGTAGCAAGGGTTCTCTTTATGATGTCGTTGACCTCATTGTGTCTTGCATGCCAGCCCTTGGTTTTGGAACAGTTAAGACCATGTAGACCGTATTGGTCTGCTTGTGCTTTGCCGCAAATACACGTATATTCTGTGTGAATTGGGGCAGCAAGGCGCAGAGCCACTGCAATACGAAGGGTCTTTGGGTCGAGTCGCGTTCCCATTGCCGATATGGGAACTGTTTGGAGGAAGTCCCCGGAGTGAGGTGCGCTCACAGCCTGGAGACGGGCAATCTCCCTTTCTGATGTTGCAGCCCTGAGCATGTTGGCAAGCACATTTTCAGCGATCGGGCCATCCCAGCTTGACTGTTTGTGAGTCAGTGCTGTACTAGTGATTGGTGCTGGAGCAGCAAGAGTCTCCCATTTAGTGATGGCACTGGCATAGCTAGGCTCTTCTATTCCTGCTGAGTCACTGAGGGTATCAGGAAAAATTTGTCTTATCAACTCGTTTGATGCAATGGAAGAGGATAGGAAAGCTGGTAGAGCAATCTAGGAGGATCTGTGTACTCCTAGCCCTCCAAGCCTGACCGGAAGTGAGGCTTGCAACCACTGTCCATCTTCAAGGGAAAGATTCAATACACTCTCTAGCATGGTCTTCAGGAAAGAGTCATATTCCTTGAGTTTTGGACTGCTGAAGGCTGGGGAGTATCTCAGAAAGTAGGTAAGTTTTGGGATTGACAGGCACCTGGTGAGTAGGTAGAAGGCATAGTGTGTGTCAATGTCTTTCATCCGGTTTCCATCGTCCGGAGGTCTGAGACTTTTTTCTAGGATCAGATCGATGGCATTGGACCCAAGAGGAGCACCAAAGAGAGTGCTATTGGCTGGATCAATGGCTCGTGCTCTTGGTAAAACGGCGCTAATATTCTGGATCATCTGTTGATTGGTAGAAACTATTTCACATATGGTGGGGTTTAAAGAAAGGCTCAGGCTTTCTCCCATGTCTTTAATTTTACTGATGTCCTCTAGGAGAGATTCTGTTGTGCCAGCCAGGGTACCGTCGTCCAAGAACCAGATATTGAGCTCGCTGGAGAGTGCTTCTGTGACTTCCTTGATGACCAAACAAAACAGAAAGGCGGCGATAGGGTCCCCCTGTTGCACTCTCTCACATGAGTCAATTTAATGGTCCCCAAACAATAGTTTGGAAGTCACACTATAACACGATTCTATGAAGGGATAAAGGGATGGGAAGTTTCTATAAACTGCTTGGAGAGCAGCATCCCTTCTGACTGAGTTGAAAGCGTTGGGAAAGTCCAATTTGACCAAGGCTTTTTCATAGGACATGTTTTTGATATATACTCGTGCTGCGTGGGCAGCTGCTTCACAGCCCTGTTGAACGCCGAAACCGAGCTGAGTTGATTTCAGCATTGCAGCAGCCTCTTGACTCACCCTTCTTACTACAGCCTTGGCGACTAGGTGCCGAAGGGTGTTACCCACTGCAATGGGCCTGATTCCGCCATCCTTTTTCCGGAGGGCACACAATGAGGCACCAAAGAAAAGGGGTCTGATGGCCTCTGGGACACTGCCAGCCAGGCACAGGTTGGAAAATTTGGTGAGTTCAGACAGCAGCCTCTCTGAAACCTCACCAAGTGCTGGATTGAGTATTTGTTTTAAGTGTTGAGGCCTTAAACCGGTGAAACCTCCTGCTGAGCCCTGTGGAAATGACATAGCAGCTTTATGCACATCAGCATCCTGTAAGGTTAGATGTTCTTCGCCTGCTGCAATGTCAGGGAGGTCTATGTTGGTACTGGGAGCCCTGGGTGGATGTTTGTCCTTCAGAGCTTGCGCCGTGCTGACGTCCTTGGGAGCGATGATATCCTCACTGGTTATAAGCCTCAGAGCTCCAATAATATTAATCTCTTTTATTTTTTTGCTAATTTGGGCTCTGATTTTTGAGGCGTCGGGTGTCCTGTTGTTGGCATTTGCCCGGCGGGTATTTATCGCCCTAGGGGGGAGACGGACGAGGTTGTCATCCCTTGGGAATGCATTTATTGCCCTAATATCATGTGTTGCTAGTGACTTGTCCCTCCTTGGTGGGACAGCCAAACAGGCATTGCCAAAAAGCAGCAGGTTTTGCCAGGATCTGTTTTTTGAAGGAGCATCGTTGACTTACTTCAGAAGGTCAGTGAATTTGCTTGCAGCTTTAGGGCGAGCTGCTTTTGGGATGTGTCTCAGAGTCCTGGTGGATGTTAATTTGATTGCAGATTTGAGGTCCTCTGTAGAGGTGAAGTTACGGTAGCTGTCAGCCCTTTCTGCTGGGGAAGGCTGTTGGTTGTCCTCATCAATCTTACATAGGTGGCACATGCTGTCACCAGTCCGAAAGGCATAGTTTATAATGCATCAATCCTCTTTGTGTTGGAAAAGCAGTATATTGCTTGGAAGAGTGATGTAACATGACTTGGTGGTAACATGACCACGTGGATACAGTTTCCTTTTTATAGGGCTATCAGTGGTCAAATCATTTTTATGGACCACTGTAGAGGTGACACATGGAATATCGGTATAAACATCAGAAAATTGTTTGAGGCATTGCATTAGATCTTTTCTCTTCTTCTTATCTAATCATTGACTGATATTCACATCAGTTGTGGAAGAGCCTTCCATATTGACTGTATCATTAAGCTTAATGTCATCTTCCAAGTTGGAAAATTCCACTGTGCAGACACTGCAGTCATCTATTTCAACATCCTGATGGCGAGGAAAAATAATATCAAAGTTATTTCGACAGTTTACAGTAATCGTCTAAAATATTTCTTTAGAATATTTATGAAATATATCTTCGGTTTCCCCTTGACATCTATGAGGTAGTCAACTTTCCCCCAAAATTTTAAGACTTTATATGAACCTTTTTAAGTAACTAATAATTTGATTTGACAGGGCGTAATACAAGAACTTCATCCCCTACGTTAAAACTTCTCCTCTGACTTTTAGTATCAAAGTAAGTTTTGTATTGATCCATAGATAAACTAAGGCTTTTAAGTAACTATGTCAGAGGTCTTCTCGAATTTAGGTCGTAAATCACGAAGAAACTGATAAGAAAACTGAACCTCAGCACTTCTTTTCTCATAGGACTTTAAGTCATGAAGAACAGTTAAAAGACC